CTTTTGTGCTGATGTGCCATTCTGAAAAAAGTAAATAAGACAATTATTGAAATACAAAGCAACACTTACATAGTATTACAGTGGAGACGGTGTATGTTGTTTGGGGAATCGGAATACAGGATATTGAAAAAAGTTTTTTTCCATTAACTGCCAGATTTCAGAGCTAGTTCTAAAAGGAGAAGCTTTAAATAAGTTTTTGCCATCTTTGCTTGACTTTTATATTGGTGTGCAATGAAGTACAACATAAGTACAACATCTGCTTCATTCCTGCAAAACTTGAATGGTTTCGTCTTACAAGCAGGGGGAATGTCTAAATAAGCAAAACTTGCATATAAATCTTTCCAATCACGCCACGGAAAATTAGTACTTGAAACAAGAAACTGTTGACGACGAACTTCAATATTGTACGGTATAGTTCAATATATACTAAAAGCTCCGGCCTGTGCGAGTCCACCCCCAAAATCCTTTTTAACTTACAAAACTACGGTAGCAACTTAGGCCAAAAATTACACGATGTATCCAAGAAACTGCAACCACCTCTTTTCGAAATACCTTTCTTCAAACTGCTCTGATAATTTACTACGAAAAAGATCCCGTAACACGTGCAATCTGATCTATGGCCCGACCTTACATAAGCCGGGTAGAGACTTTTCCCACATAACCACTCAAAATGGCAACAAATAACACTCCTGATAAAACTATACATCCTCCTTCGTACATTTAAAGATATTTCATTTAAGTACGTCCATTTTTTTGGCTACATACCAATGCCAAAGTTTGTGACTGGGGGCGAATGGCTGTTGAAAGAGGCCGAGATAGTGCGCGACCATTGCCAACCTACAAATATCACAACACTTCGGTTAAAATGTCGTAAAAATCACCACAGAATTGATAGAAAGTGCACTTACAATACTTCTAGCGACTGGGGAGGTAAATTTACTGCAGGAGAACATGATTGCGAATAATTTCTCTTCTCGAGGATGCCACGCTCCGTTGTACTTTCCAAGATGGACGGCGAGGAGGGACGCTGAAGTGTATTATGGGTATTCATGTGATTGCGTGGTTGTCTGGGATGCGCCTCGTTTGGGAACAAAGTTGTGCAAGATGCAGCAAATATGTCATCGTTTTTCATCAGGGGGCTGTCATGTTCCATACAATGAACGGGTCAAAAAATAATTTCGTCAGGTTACAATGTATACTGAAAACAATTCATTTAGAAAAGGGAATGCATCGCCCTCTATTGATATACGTTTCCCTTTAATTTCTTCACACAAGGACTGTTCCGTTTTCACATGTACAGGATCTCACTGGAACTCAGTGGGTTTTTCTCCAAACTTTTTGAACAGAAAGCCAAAATGCGAATGGGGAGATAGATCAGAGCAGGGGAAAATAGACCAGGCTGTGCCAATTTAGCCGGGTTATGTTTAAACGCAATTCTAGCTGCTTTCGGGATATGTTTGCAAAACTTTGCCATTATTTAGGTACATCCAGGTACAGTAACCTTGGGAAGCTGGGCTTATAGCCTACCCCAGTTTACAACGTAATAAGGAAAAAAGCTTGTGTAACTTACAGGGTCGTAACATGGTATATGGGCTCAGGGCTCAAAGCCCAAAATATGACTGGGATCAGGGCTCAGAGGAAAGGGCTCAGGGCTCAGAAGAATGGGATCAGGGATCACAAGGCTTTTGAGCCTGAATCAGGGATCATACCTGCAACACCTACAGTAGCTGCACCAGCACCAATAAATTTAGCAGCAGAGTCAACATCCTGCACCTGAGAACTTGTCTGAAAGCCTCGGCAAGCCAGAGCTAAAGGAGAGGAAGGTACTAGAGCCTGTACAGGGAAAGAATAATAATGATGAATGAGAAATGATGAAAATACCAAAATCACTTTCGTTTGATCAGGTTATAGAGCAGTTGCATGCATCATTTATGTTGTTCAACTTCAACAAGGATAAAGATTCAAACTTTCAACTTAAAAGAACCCTTACAGTATAGTGTGTGTGATGCAATTAAGGCTGGTTTTCACTAGCAACAGAGTCAGAGTCAGGGTTGTAATCATAAGCATAGCACTTAATGATCTAGTTTAAACAGCATTCTGATTCTTCTGATTCTGCTTACGAGTCCATCGTTTACAACAAAGACAACTCCAATTCCGACAATCTGGTTTTCACTAGCTCATAAGTGGAACGTAAGCGACGGAGTTGGAAGTGGAGTCGGAAGTAACTGGAAATGTTGTGATTCTTCTGACTCTGATTCCATCGCGCTTACGCCTCCGCTTACGACTCCGACACTTCTGAAAACCAGCCTTCAGCAAGCAATGACACCAGTAATAGTTACCTTGCTTTGCATGTTATCTTTTTGCACACCTTGAAAGAAACAATAACAAGAGACATTACAAACAACCTGGGGTACCACCTGGATCTACAAAGATCCAGTCCACACAGACTTTATCAACTGAGATAATGAAACCACTACATCCCCCCCCACCACTGCACTACACTTTCTTTCAAAAGTAACCCCTTGTTTCAAACTGTATCCTAGTCTGTCACATCCACTGAAGTTTGTAATTTTAATAACAATGGGATGTTTGCTCTGATTGATTCAAACTTTTGTTGACTATATATAGATGTAGGTTTAGAGTGGTAGAGGTATTTTGCAGAATCCCAAATGACTCTTCATTCAGCATTCTGCATTTGCTGAATGCCAAATGCAGAACACTGAATCACTCTGAAGTTTAGTGATTAGGGTTCCGAAACTGAGTGAATGAGGTTCCAGTTAGGGTCATTATATTGGGAAAACTGATCTGAAACTTCATTCACTCAGTTTCCTAACCCTAATAACTAAACTTCACAGTCATTTAGCGTTTTGCAAATGGCATTCAGCGTTCTGCCAAATACCCCTGCCAGGTTTAGAGGAAACAAAGATACTACCATTTTTTCCTGTATCATTAATTGTGACTAACACAAATTAAGTATACTCACTAGTAAACTGACTTGAAACAACTGTACGTGACAGGTTAAACATATTCCTAAAAAGAACAGGGCGAGAGAAATTTTTTAGTAACAGTATCAAGAAAGTTATGCCTAAGAAATTGAACACAATAACAAAGCTGTAACAAAAATAAAGTACGTGTTTTTGCATAAAATTCATACTCACTTTTGTGCTGATGTGCCATTCTGAAAAAAGTAAATAAGACAATTATTGAAATACAAAGCAACACTTACATAGTATTACAGTGGAGACGGTGTATGTTGTTTGGGGAATCGGAATACAGGATATTGAAAAACGTTTTTTTCCATCAACTGCCAGATTTCAGAGCTAGTTCTAACGGGGAAGTTTTAAATAAGTTTTTGCCATCTTTGCTTGACTTTTATATTGGTGTGCAATGAAGTACAACATAAGTACAACATCTGCTTCATTCCTGCAAAACTTGAATGGTTTCGTCTTACAAGCAGGGGGAATGTCTAAATAAGCAAAACTTGCATATAAATCTTTCCAATCACGCCACGGAAAATTAGTACTTGAAACAAGAAACTGTTGACGACGAACTTCAATATTGTACGGTATAGTTCAATATATACTAAAAGCTCCGGCCTGTGCGAGTCCACCCCCAAAATCCTTTTTAACTTACAAAACTACGGTAGCAACTTAGGCCAAAAATTACACGATGTATCCAAGAAACTGCAACCACCTCTTTTCGAAATACCTTTCTTCAAACTGCTCTGATAATTTACTACGAAAAAGATCCCGTAACACGTGCAATCTGATCTATGGCCCGACCTTACATAAGCCGGGTAGAGACTTTTCCCACATAACCACTCAAAATGGCAACAAATAACACTCCTGATAAAACTATACATCCTCCTTCGTACATTTAAAGATATTTCATTTAAGTACGTCCATTTTTTTGGCTACATACCAATGCCAAAGTTTGTGACTGGGGGCGAATGGCTGTTGAAAGAGGCCGAGATAGTGCGCGACCATTGCCAACCTACAAATATCACAACACTTCGGTTAAAATGTCGTAAAAATCACCACAGAATTGATAGAAAGTGCACTTACAATACTTCTAGCGACTGGGGAGGTAAATTTACTGCAGGAGAACATGATTGCGAATAATTTCTCTTCTCGAGGATGCCACGCTCCGTTGTACTTTCCAAGATGGACGGCGAGGAGGGACGCTGAAGTGTATTATGGGTATTCATGTGATTGCGTGGTTGTCTGGGATGCGCCTCGTTTGGGAACAAAGTTGTGCAAGATGCAGCAAATATGTCATCGTTTTTCATCAGGGGGCTGTCATGTTCCATACAATGAACGGGTCAAAAAATAATTTCGTCAGGTTACAATGTATACTGAAAACAATTCATTTAGAAAAGGGAATGCATCGCCCTCTATTGATATACGTTTCCCTTTAATTTCTTCACACAAGGACTGTTCCGTTTTCACATGTACAGGATCTCACTGGAACTCAGTGGGTTTTTCTCCAAACTTTTTGAACAGAAAGCCAAAATGCGAATGGGGAGATAGATCAGAGCAGGGGAAAATAGACCAGGCTGTGCCAATTTAGCCGGGTTATGTTTAAACGCAATTCTAGCTGCTTTCGGGATATGTTTGCAAAACTTTGCCATTATTTAGGTACATCCAGGTACAGTAACCTTGGGAAGCTGGGCTTATAGCCTACCCCAGTTTACAACGTAATAAGGAAAAAAGCTTGTGTAACTTACAGGGTCGTAACATGGTATATGGGCTCAGGGCTCAAAGCCCAAAATATGACTGGGATCAGGGCTCAGAGGAAAGGGCTCAGGGCTCAGAAGAATGGGATCAGGGATCACAAGGCTTTTGAGCCTGAATCAGGGATCAAATTTATTACACGGTCTAAAAATCTCTTATTACAATATTTTTCCGCATAATAAGGTTTGTGTCCATGATAGAATTTCCTGGCCGAGGTACATTACCTATTCTTGCTTCCGGCTGGCGGCAGTTCCTGTCATACGAAGTACTGGTTGTTTGACGAAAACATCATGGTATCATATTCTTAATTTATTAATTGTTGAGGCCACCGTAATATGAATCTCAAGTCACTTTTCTCGCCTTGTAACGCAACTCCTCAACGCGCTGTCAACGCCAGAAGGCAGCTAGAGAAAGCGATTTATACATATCTTTTTTGGCGAGAAATGGGGACGAAAAAAAAGGACAAAAAGCCTGTGACAAAGAAAGGTACGTAAGTACTTCCTTGACTGATTTACTCCTGGCAAGGGTTTTTCGGCCGATCATACATAACAATACCGCCAGGACAATAGACAAACCGATTCATTGAAAGCGGAATTTACTGTATAGGTCCCGATTGCCTCATCGACTCAAGCAAGTCACAAGGCGACTATAAATCGAGGTTCGTATTTTTTGACCAGTAACTTAACTCTTAAAAGTACTTAAATAATTAGAATGGACGTCAAAAGTAGAATAAAAAAGTGCAACGAATTCGCGCGCTTTGTTGCAAAGTAAATGCTTTCTCGCAATTTAATAAATCTGCTCTAATTGCATGGAGTTTTAGGGTTATCGCGAACTCCGATGAGAAACCGAGATTGGTTCACCTACTACTACTAGTATTGGGCTGGGAAAGTGAAGGACACATTCCATTACTGTATAACTGATAAACGCTTGAATGATAAATAGTCTGAAATTACAGTCAGTGTAGAATTAGTGAAAATAAGTGGAACACCAAAGACTTACCTCGGTGAAATAAAAGTAACAAAGCCTTTATAGTTTATTTTCTTCAGTTTCTTTTTTTTATAAGATAAACGGTTGAATTGGTGAAAGGAATGTTGTATACTAGGTACAATTAGCAGAGTCTGCAGGGATTTAATATATTATAGCACTCAGCATGAATTAAGGGCCACCAGTAAGAAGCCCACTACTGTCCACTATTTGATTTTTGAGCAGGGGATGGCTTGTTTTTTTCATGCAAGATTTTTTCAGGCCTCATTCGTGCAGTGGCTATTTTGTTTTGTACAAAATTTACAGACTTTAGTGACAATATTGATCTAAAAGAATTTTTTCGGCCCTTTGGGCTATCCGGCCTTGGCTTATGTAATGGTCGGCTCCAAAATGTATCACCACCTTAGATTTGGAGCCTGAATTTTTTGGTGGAGAGAGAACACCCGCTCTAAACGACCGGCCCAGCTGCCTTTTAGAATCAATAGAGATGCTCTACCAATACTCGTTTATCTTTTATACCGGTCCTCAAAACCATTACACAGAGAGAAAGCTGGGTCCAAAGACACCGGAATGGCTTCGAAAGTAGCTCGGTAAGAGTAAACCTTAAGGAGGATATGGACGAGGAGACGAGAGCAGAGGGAAAGGAGCCATAAAGGAAGGCATTGCAGAGCTTTGCGAAAGAATTCGGACGGAGTATATGAAAGTCCAGAAGCTTGGTTGCCCTTAATCAAGAAACACAGCAATAGGAGATCCTAAGGACAGCGGGCCAGTGAGGCACAAGCTCATACAAACAACGGGGTAAGAAATGCCCCAATCTCAGCGGCTAATAATCGCCAACCAGAACCAGAGCTTGGAGTCATATAAGTTCACGTGTGACCAGTCGACGAAGACTAGCAAGGCAAGGTCTTTAAGTGTTACTTTTTCTAATGAACACTTGAAGTACGCAGTTGAAACGTCGCGATCTACATCATTAAGTGACTGAATCGTGAGACAAACGATTACACTTTATTAACATCAATATTGTAGACCAGCAACACGGCCGACGTGAAATTTTTGGTTGCAAGAGTCTCTTTGGAAATAAAACATCTGTGACCCACACAGATCGGACATTGATTAATTGAACAAGTTATCCGGGCATGCAGATGTTCGTACGGGACAGGAATTGGAAAGCTAGGGGACGACCTTAGTTAAGAAATACCTTACAGTGACGTTAATTCAACCGGGGACCAACCAGAGCTAGCTGTGTTTGCTGTTTGAATTGAATGAAAATGTATCTATTCGAATTTTGAATCCATGCAATGCTTTCTTGTGATTGGCTTATAAACCTCCGGGTGGCCTTGCTCGTATGAGCAACACTGAAAATAACCTTGTAACTACACTTGATGAACGTTACATCTGAAAAAATCAAGATTCCGCCGCAAAATCTTTCAAGATGTACGATACTTAAAGGGAAGTGGACTACTTTTAATGTATAAATTAACAATAACTTACATTATGTATCTTACTAAAGCTCCCGTTCAAGAAAATCAGGTTTTATCATTTGTCTAGTATCGCCAAACATTATATTTTAAGTGTTTTAAATAGAATAATGCAGAAAAAGAGGTAGACTCATATTGATCTTTAAAGCTCTGATGGAACCCACAACTTGCACTGAAAATTAAAGTTAATGTTTTTCTCATCAGCCCATTTGAGCATGTTCTATATTCTATATTTGGAGATAAACAAAGTTATCTAAGTTAAAATTTTGTGTAAAAACATGGATGGGATCAATTTTTTTATCAGGGCTCAGGGATCAAAATTTTGGGGCAAATGGGGCTCAGGGATCAAAATAACGGCAAGAAAATAGGGATCAATGGGTCCCGGATATACCATGTTACGACCCTGTAACTTAGGTCTCGGTAAAACACTGGGACTATGAAAATCTTTGAATACAGGGAACTATAATTAAAACGCAGAATAACACTCAGTTAGTGAAGTTCTTGTTGCCGAAACACTTTCTGTTGAGAATTGCTCACGAGAGCCCACAGCAAAGTGTATCTAAACTATTTTATTGCATGTCTGGCCAGCACTACGGCAAAAGGGTATAATCAGGCCCAGAAAGCCAGCAATATTTCGCGGACTAAAGTACAACTAGTATCCTTTACGGCAAGTCAGTGATATACAGTCATGATACACTGGTGCCTGGGGTTTTTTCTTGTACCCTATAAATCAAATTTGTAAAATGTTTTACATTCTTCACTAAGCAGGAACGCAAACTTTTTAATTAAGTCCGTTTGTACCGCGATCGCCGGAATCTGCATGGCCTTTATAATGATGCTGATTAGTTGTAGACAAGAGAAAATTTTTTGAAGATTTTAATCTTCAGCCTTAGGGACCGGTCATTATTTATCACCTGGGGGGGGTCGGAGGATTTTGGGGGGGATCACTTGATTTTTGGGAGAACAGAGGGGGGGATCAGTCGTAACTGAGAGCCCAAAAGGGGGGGATCACTGAAAATTTTGGAAGGATTCAGAGGGGGGACCACTCAAATCTGCTTGAACAATGCCAGTTTGAAAGCATACAACATAAATGTGCCCATTCTGCTGGGAGATGATAGCATTTGCAATCTCAATTTGTTCTAACACAACTTTATTTAAAAAACGGAAGTCTGTCACACTGGCGAATGTGTGCATTTCAATTTATATCGAGAAAGCTTTGTTTTAACGCTTTTATATTTTTCCTTTTATAACGTGCTCATGACTTAGCTAATATTCATCTTTAAACATGACAGGTGAATTCTAAATTGTGAACTATATAAACTTCTGATAACTGAAACATTGTAAAAAGCGTGTTTGTTTAAACATAAACCATTTATCGCCTCTCCAGGAATGGGCGTCCTGTGTCAGCTCTATACTAAATTCGATTCAACTGCTTCATCTGCCTCATCTTGAGCCTCATCATCCCATTCAACAACTTCATTTGCCTCTTGAGCCTCGTCATCCGATTCAACAGCAACATTTAGTCCCCTTCGGCAGGTTGACCCTGGACTTTGTGCCCTTAAAATGGCCGCTACTTGCTCTAGATTTTTTGCTAGGGTCGTGCTAAAAATACCCTTTTCTAGTAGCCATAGCAAAGGGTCTAGATGCAAACGCCTTGTTAGTTTCTTAGCAAAGTCAGCATTGATGCTATCTACAGGAGTAACTCTATCATTCTCTTCGATTGAACCGAAAATTTGCCCCGCGACCTCGATTGAGGTCAAGTTTCCTAAGAGATGACGTGCCCTCTGCTTGAGTCGCTTGTCCTTGGTTTTTCGGACCTTCCTCTTATTTTCCTTCTTTCTTCTTGACATTGTTGATTTTCTCGCGCACAAAGGAAACTTCTTTGACAGGTTAATATGCGCTGTTGTCAACTTGTTGGATGCGGACTGAAGTTCCTCGTGCAGTGTAGTGATTCGCCTATGTGCTTCTTCTAAATAGGCCAACTCATCGCCTGCAAATGACTTTAGAGTGTGGTCCTCTGAAAATTGTCGCTAAATATGACCTGCTGATAGGGACTTGGCGGACTGCTATTTGGCACTCTAAAAAAAGTAACTTTGCAGTTTCAAGCACTGATTGCAGTTTCAAGCACTTTGCAGTTTTAAGCAAGATTGCTTGTATGTCAACTGAATTCAGATGTCTGGATCCAGACTAGAAAAAGACACGGATCAAGAGACACTTTTAAAAAAAGACTGCGCGATAACGGCTTTATTATGCTGTAAGTACATCATAGTTAGAAATACTACCTGTATATGAACGTTTAAAACACTAAATATACACGTCGAAAGGTGAATATGGGTACAAAGACATGGGGGGGGATCACGAAAGTTATATATAGTTATGAGGGGGGATCACTTCAATAAAATAACATTTAAAGGGGGGATCGGCTAAATTTCATCGTGTATAGCCCAAAATCCTCCGACCCCCCCCAGGCGATAAATAATGACCGGTCCCTTACTCCCAAATGTTAAAGAGCCGGCAATTGAGGTTACAGAACGTGACAGTAATAACCCAGGCAAATTCAGCTTTAATGGTCTTTAATGAATACGTCAAACGACTAGACGGTTCATTAATTTGTAGCTGAGATATTAAAATTTTAAAATTTTCCATATCCTAAAGTCATCAAACGAGGACAGTACTTATAATGTCAACCTGTTTCTGACAATCGCAATAATTTATAAATCAGCCATTACTCATAACAAGAAGCTATCGCGAGTAAAATTCTTTATTGATAGATGTGATCATAATTTGCATAATTATCTAATGCAGTTTATAGAGTTTTATCATCGTTCGTTTTGCTCAGTATTGTTAGCATCATTGTTATCATAAATCATCTTTTTTGTTGTCGTTGTTTCTTGAATATAAGTAAAACCAGCAAGGAATGCATTAATGGGCTCCTAAGAACCGATAGAATTCAGTCACAATTCATTAGAGTGCGGCTTAGTTTTTTCCTTCTTCTCTGAATCTGCATTCATGGTTTGCTGTTTATCAGCATCAGTCTCTGTTGATGTGGGGGCCTTCGTTTCCATTTTCTCTGAAGTTTGGTCATGCACAATATTGGTTTCGCTTGAGTCATCATTGGGACCTGCGATCTGGGGAGATCCGTCGAAACCTACTTCCAAGTCCACTCCCTTCATTACGTCTCGTCCATAGATTTCAATCAGTTTATTCAGCGCCGTTGCATAGTATGTTTCGGGAACTATATTCTCAAAGAAGTCAGCTAAGAGCATTTCTCTTTCTCTGAGCAACTTCATATCTGACATAGCTCCCTCGAAATAGGCACAGAGAGATGAGAGGGCTGTTTCCCAGGTCATGGGCTTCCAGTCGAGAAGAATCTTTGCCTTGCTAATGTCCAGTGGTCCCTTGGTGACAGTAGGATAAGTATACCATGTTTCATCGTTATCAGAAAGAAACTCTAGTTTATCAATTTCGAGCTTATCGGCGATGTCTCGGAGCAGTTTTTTCAAGGTAAAATGTTCATTAAACGCAATGTTTATAGCTTGGTTGTGAACCGCAGGACCAGCATCTAGAACTTTCTCGATGGCTTTAGCTGCATCTTCCACGTGAATTAAACTAAACTTATCATCGGACACACCTTCGGGCATGTGAAGAGGGTGATGAATGTCCTTATGAATACGTATCCACAACTGGTAAGTCCAAAATCGGAACGAATTATCACGTGGTCCGATCACATCCGGAAGTCTCAACGCCACATACGGAAATCCACCTTCTTTTCGCTGTTGTTGGAGCACTTCTTCACAGGCTAATTTGTCATGTGCGTATTTTTCTTCTCTTTTAAGCTGCATTCGTTTCTTTGGGCTTTTTGGTCTGACTGCGTCTTCTTCAGTTGTAGGTCCAGAATGCGTCTTATCGCAGACTTCGTAGACTGAATCAGTGCTTATATAAACATAAACACCAACTCTGTCTTTTAAGATGTCCACCACCTGTTTCGTCTGTCTCGCGTTGTAAGAGCTAAAATCAATGACTGCATCATAAGAACCAGAAGTTAAAAGTTCCTCGCATTCAATCTCAAGAAGTTTATCTCTGTTGCATATAAAATGAGCACTTACAAAAGGCTTGATGCGTTCTTCGGAATCGAAGTACCAGTTACCTCGATTGACCATTGTGATTTCATCTCCACGGTCAATTAACCTCCGTACAGTTTCACTNCTTTGCCTTGCTAATGTCCAGTGGTCCCTTGGTGACAGTAGGATAAGTATACCATGTTTCATCGTTATCAGAAAGAAACTCTAGTTTATCAATTTCGAGCTTATCGGCGATGTCTCGGAGCAGTTTTTTCAAGGTAAAATGTTCATTAAACGCAATGTTTATAGCTTGGTTGTGAACCGCAGGACCAGCATCTAGAACTTTCTCGATGGCTTTAGCTGCATCTTCCACGTGAATTAAACTAAACTTATCATCGGACACACCTTCGGGCATGTGAAGAGGGTGATGAATGTCCTTATGAATACGTATCCACAACTGGTAAGTCCAAAATCGGAACGAATTATCACGTGGTCCGATCACATCCGGAAGTCTCAACGCCACATACGGAAATCCACCTTCTTTTCGCTGTTGTTGGAGCACTTCTTCACAGGCTAATTTGTCATGTGCGTATTTTTCTTCTCTTTTAAGCTGCATTCGTTTCTTTGGGCTTTTTGGTCTGACTGCGTCTTCTTCAGTTGTAGGTCCAGAATGCGTCTTATCGCAGACTTCGTAGACTGAATCAGTGCTTATATAAACATAAACACCAACTCTGTCTTTTAAGATGTCCACCACCTGTTTCGTCTGTCTCGCGTTGTAAGAGCTAAAATCAATGACTGCATCATAAGAACCAGAAGTTAAAAGTTCCTCGCATTCAATCTCAAGAAGTTTGTCTCTGTTGCATATAAAATGAGCACTTACAAAAGGCTTGATGCGTTCTTCGGAATCGAAGTACCAGTTACCTCGATTGACCATTGTGATTTCATCTCCACGGTCAATTAACCTCCGCACAGTTTCACTTCCAATAAAACCATTTCCTCCAAATACAAGAATTCTCCGCCCACTTGATTTAATACCATCGTTTTCATCTTCGCTGGTTGCAAAAAGAATATAAAAGTTGATTACAATAGTTATCACTAATAGTCTCTTGAGTTCCATTCTCAGTCCTACAAAACCTAATGATGCAGATTAATCCGCTATATCATTATCTATTACTGTTGGTAGTGTGGTATACTCATTAAAATATCGGATCCTTCAGCTGTGTAAACTTTAGAGAAATATTGACCAGTAAAATTAAAGCACGGCATTCAAGCCCTTCTCGCTGAATATGAAATAGAATTAATTACATTTGAACAATGAGTGATAAAATCCTGGCTTACGTGTCTTTTTATCAATAACTGATGCGCCTTTGGTTTACCATATGTGTATGAGCTGTGACTTGTATTAAAAGAACCTAACTGGAAGGTTTTTGATCATATATTACGACTTCTGAGGACTTGGCTGTCTAACCTGCTTTTCAAAGTTTGCAAGGAAAAATTCATAGTCTTTTCGCTGAATGCTAATTATTCTTTTAATTCACATTGAGCGACGATTCAAAAAAGAAAAATACATTTAACAGCTGGTTTAGTCACAGTTTTAGCAATTTATTTGTAAAGAATTCACAAGTAAAAAGGCTTACGAGGGAGATGTATCTCTCTGGATTGATTGCTCTATATTACGACATTACACACTGATTCAGCACCCTAATTTTTTTTTTAAATATAGGCGCGCTTAAGACTCTTACTCCACGCTTTATCGATTCATTTACTGATTTTGAGAAAAAAACGGACTGTTTTGCAGTCTAGGCCAGACTCGTACCCAGTCGCTATTTATGTTTTTTGGGTGTGAGAGAAGATTGGGGGTTAAGTTGAGGCGCGCACGGGGCCTAACCCCCAATCTTCTCTCACCCCAAAACACATAAATCAGCGACTGGGTACGAGTCTGAGTCCAGGCTATATATGGCTGCCTGTCTAGAACAAATCCTGTTTTTGTTGTTTTTGTTAATGTTGCCTTCCGAGCACGCGCACTAGTCGCTCCGTTAATGGTAGTTCTTTTACAAATTGTAAAACCGATTATCAACTAAATAATAGGGAGCTCAGTTTTAATCCACCCAAGAAGTGATTAGTAGCTAAAGAACTTTAGTTACGTTTTTGTCACGTTTTTAAATTTTTGTGATCAGTTAGATAAAAAGGAAAGATGGCAATGAAACTGCAATGTAAAATGCAACGATTTAAAAAGGGAATTAGTTTCCTATAATAAGCTGCTCCGTATAAAGTTAGAATGTCTGGAATTCGAGGACGAGATATTTTATTCCTTTCTTTAATACAGGATTAGAGATATCACCGCGTTGCGTGAGTCATTTAGATGACATGCCAGCAAGAGCCTTTTTTAAAGGTGTTAAACGAGTCAATATATACAAATTAAAATTTGTATATATTGACCCGTCGAAAAGACAACTGAATTACCATACATATTGATGTTTTCAAACTCGAAAAGTTACGCTTAATGTAAATTTACAGATCATGAAATTTGTATTAAGAAGCGGTAAGACAGGATCGTCTCTTGGAAACGGCTATTCAAGAACACAGAAATTTTCCCCCAAAACTCTTGTAAGGTGCGTCTTAGCCTGCAGCACGGGCGTTTTCATCGGGCGCACGAATGTTTTTGCCCG